GTGGGGTCACGAGAGGTCAAATCCCCCCCCCACTAATTAGGTGAAAGGTCACCAACTTATTTTTTTGGGAAACCTGGGGTCACGAGAGTTCAACGTGGGGTCACGAGAGGTCAAATCCCCCCCCCACTAATTAGGTGAAAGGTCACCAACTTATTTTTTTGGGAAACCTGGGGTCACGAGAGTTCAACGTGGGGTCACGAGAGGTCAAATCCCCCCCCCACTAATTAGGTGAAAGGTCACCAACTTATTTTTTTGGGAAACCTGGGGTCACGAGAGTTCAACGTGGGGTCACGAGAGGTCAAATCCCCCCCCCACTAATTAGGTGAAAGGTCACCAACTTATTTTTTTGGGAAACCTGGGGTCACGAGAGTTCAACGTGGGGTCACGAGAGGTCAAATCCCCCCCCACTAATTAGGTGAAAGGTCACCAACTTATTTTTTTGGGAAACCAGGGGTCACAGAGAGGTCCGTGTGGGATTCCTTTAGGCCAAGCCCCCCCCGAGATGAGGCAAAGTCGATTCAGTGCTCCTGGGGCCCCCATTGCTTCCTGGCTGGTCCAAGGGCCGTGGTCAGGCTGTGGGCTGGGAGTGAGGGGCATAGTGGGGTTTTTGGCCAGGTTTTGGGGTGCAGCATCAGAAAAAGGGGAAAAACCCTGATGTTCAAAGTGCAAAAAAGCCCCTGCTTTCTGGGGGCTCACACTTCATGATTTATCACACAGCTTCCCCCCTCCACAGCCTCCTTGTGTGCACCTATTTACAGGCACCAAGGGGCCAGAGAGCTGTAGCCTAGTTGGGCTTGAACCCACAACCTTTGCTAGCTAGGGTAACACCATTAACAGCAGAGTACCAGGGACAGCTGAAAGCTCTTCCTGCCATGGGCCCCTTGAAGCACAGTGGCCAGGCCCCTCCATTGAAAGAGGACAGTGCCTCCCCACAAAACAGGGGGAAGCTAGGACCTGACCCCAGAACCTCAGCACTCCCACTGGGAAGCCCTGCACTGTGCACCACAGGGCCTGCTTGGCTCAGTGCTTCACTTCTGGGCCCCTTGACTCTTTCCCTGTGGACATGCACTGGCCCCACTACAAGAGGACTCCCTTGAAGGCCCCAGTCCTCGCCTGCCATATGGCCTAGTGGGTGAGGTCCCATCTTCAGGCAGGGCCTATGGGTTTGACTCTGTACAGGCCCAGCATCCTCTGGCCCTAGCTTTCATTCTTGCTTTCCCCAGCCGCGCTTGCACAGCTGCTGCGAGCCAAGGGTCATCGTATTTGCAGTGCCGGAGAGGACTTGTTCCAGCCGTCCATGCTCGAGTCTGGAGACATCAGGCTGGAGGCCAGGAGGTCTGCCTTTGTTTGCAGCCGTGGTGCTGCCTGGGAAAAGTGAAGCTGCGTGGCACATTCCCCTGGGCTGCAGGGACCCGTCTTCTCTGGCTGCTCAGCAGGGACCGCTGCGGGGTCCCAGCTCCTGTGTGAGCCCAACCAAGGGGGGGCAGAGAAGGGGGGGCTTGGAGGCCTCCAACCACAAGGGAATCCGGACCCCCAGCCCGTGCTTTGCAGCACCGTGCCCTGGCCCCCCAGCTCTCGGGGAGACCTGGGGCTCGGGGAGCAGCTGCGGCCTGGGGCTGCGCTCAGGGAGCTGAGCAGCTGTGTCCTGCAGAGCATGGATATGTGGAGGCCGCCTGCCCAAATACCCTCCCTGGGGCCTGGTTCAGACGAAGGTCGAGCTACGGAGATGCTTCCAGGGCCCCTAAAGGCAAAGGGCTACGGGCTGGGTGCCCGCCAGGCAGAACCTGGACAAGCACCCCAGGGCCTGCTGGTGTCGTACAGGGGGCCCAATGCTGTGCCCAGGATGCCGTTCACTGCCCCAATCAGCTTCTGTTGTGCGAAGGTGCACAGGAGCTGCGCAAGGGGCAGACCAGCAGCCCCGGCTGTGGGCGCCCTTCTCTGCCCTGCGCTGGGAGGCAGAGCCTTGCTCCAGCTGTGGTGGGGACCTCTGAGCCCAGGGGACCAGTGCTCCCTGCCCTGGGGCTGCACACAAGCTCCTCTGCCCTTCTGGCAGGTCCCCTGCCATGTGCTGGGTGAGGACTGGAGGCAGACCTGCCTGCAGCACCCCTTCCTCTAGCCCTTCCAAGGCACAAGTGTGGTCTCGCTGGGCATGGCCCCTCTGTCCCTAAGGGAGCCTTGGCCCTGCACTGGGCCTGCTCTTGAGAGCCTGGGACTCCTGCAGGGAGCTGGGACCTCCCTCTTGGTCGAGGGAAGGACCCCCAGGACCGCTGCTCCTCTGTAGAGCTGTCCAGCTCTGGGAGGTGCTTGATCCTGGGCATAGGCAGGGCTCCCTGGGGCTGGGGGAAGCTCCCTGCCCTGCATGAGGTGCCCTGCCCACCCAGCTCTGGCACTCAGTGCGGCCCTGGGGGCAGCAGGACCTCACTTGGGGCTGGGACAAGCTCACCACCCTCAGTGAGGGCAGCTCCTCCCCCTGTACTAATTGCAGCCGTGCTGTAGCTTCAATCAAGTGTTCTGCCTTTCAATCAGGGCCTTGTTAGCACTAATTGGAGCCCTGGGTTCAAGCCCTGGGCTCTGGGGGTTGCTCCTGCCCTGTGCTCTGGCACTCAGTGCCTCTTTTTCCCATGTGCTGCAGACCTGGTTGTGGCTCTGGGAAGCCCTGTGCAGCCCTAGTTGAAGGCTCAGGGCTGTGAAATGGCCTTACCTGAGCCCTAGTCAATGGTCACAGCTCCTTGTAGCCATGGGCCCAGCTTGGCTGTTATGGCCTGAGCCTGGCCCAGCCCGGGCTCCCTGTCCCAGTGCAGCACCAAGTGCTGACAGAGCCAGACAGGGGATCAGGGCGAGCCTCGGGTACTCAGGCCTGCCCTTGCTGCACTGAGGCCGTGGTGCTGCCCACAGGACCAGCGCAGCCCAGGGCGGTGGAAAGCAGAAGCTCAGTCCCATGCAGCAGTAGGCAGTGCCTGGAGCAAGGTCCTGCTGAACCCAGGGCTCCAGGATGTGCCTGACCCAGGTGGGCAGGGGCAGCCTCATACAGGGCAGTGAGATCCTCCTAGTCCCCCAGGGAGCCCTGCCTGTGCCCGGGGTCAAGCAGCACCCCCAGACCCCTGACAGGTGGGAGCAGTTGGGCTTGCCAGCCGTCCTCATGCAGAGTGGAGGCGTTAGGCAGGATGGCAAGCAATTGCCTCTTGCCCATGCAGGAGCGGCGGGGCCTTGTTGCCTTGCTTGTGCGTTCTTCTGGCTTCCCTTGGGTCCTACTGCCTCTGGCTCCCGTCATCTTTGACAGGCAGCCAGGAACAGGTAAATATTCATTTTCTAAAATTTTTAGGGGCCCTGCAGGCCAGATAGAATGGCCTGGTGGGCCAGATCCAGCTTGCAGGCCATATTTTGCCTGCCCCTGTTGTAGCTGTATTTACTGGAGTGTTTACTTAGGACATGGGACTGAGGTTAAGGCTCCCTGCCCAGATCTGTGTCTGATCGGCTGTGATCTCAGGCAAGTCACTTCAGTGGTCCCATTTTTCAACTAGGGAATCCAAGGCCTGCTCCTAGGAACACCGAGATTGGGATGGAAAGCACATTGAGGAAAGGCCTTGGACAAAGACACAGCACTCCTGGGGCAGGACCCTTCCCCCGTCTGCTAAACCCTGGCCAGTAACACCTTTGCTAATTGCTGGCAAGGACAGCATCTTCCCCCAGGAAGTCCCCAGGGGCAGGAAGGATGGACAAGGTGCCAGTGTAAACTTTTGTCTGTCTCGCCCAGGCCATCCAGAGGCGGCTGGAGGAGATCGAGGTGACATTCCGCGAGCTGGAGGAGCAGGGCATCAAGCTGGAGCAGTCCCTGCGGGGTGAAGGAGGTAAGGAGTCCACCTGCTACTGGGCATCATGCCTGTTGAATGGGCTGTGGGGTGGAGGGCGGGCAATAGAGCCTGCCCCCTGCCTACACACCCACCTCCTCTCCCTGCCCCCAGGAACCCAGGCAGAGCTGAAGACCCAGTGGATTAACCAGCTCCTCCATTTGGTCCAGAAGAAGAACAGCCTGGTTTCTGAGGAGTCGGACCTCATGATTGCGTAAGAGCCCGTGCCGTGAGCAGGCATGGGGGACCAGTACCCTGTGCCCTGCCCTGCCTGAGCTAGGGCTCTTCAAGCCCTCTGCCTTTTTAGCCACAGACACTATTCTTCCTTCCCCTGCACAAGGAGAGCAGTCAGCTGTGCCATGTTGGCGCCACTCAGCCCATGCCCAGGCAGCGGGCACTTGGTGCCAGCAGAATTGCCTCCCAGCCAGTCTCTGCAGTGGGTCTGTCATGAGTTGCTGACCCTCAGTGTCCCAGAAGCACATGGCAGGGCCTTAGGAGAGCTGGCGAGTGCCTGTGGTGCCATGGCCTTTCCGCCAGT